TCTAGTCTATTCGGTGCATTGTTTTCACGGCTATTGTTATGTTGATTCACCTGGAACCGTGGCACAGTGGAAAAAAAGTTGGGCTTCTAATATAAGATCCTTAGTCAAGCCCGGTAGGGTGAGTTTAGTACCTGGATGGGTGACCTGGAACTTGTACCTACTAGAGCTTTTATGCAATTGCTTCGTGCTTTTTTTTTCTTTTTTCTTTTAAATATATTTGAATAGATTGAAAGTCTTCGAAACGGTGATAGATTATTACTCTGTTTACTATTCGTATTAAACACACTTAGTTATTTTTCGGTAAAAATGAATTCCCGCATGTGGGAAAATTAATACAATGTATAATTCCTTAGATTGAGTATTAGCCATTCAGAGGTTGAAAAAAAAAACTGGATTGAGTTGCCATTGCAGTGCATTGTGGGACTGTTTTAGGAGACGAAATAAACGCCATCTTGGAAATATTTCCCCTAAATCAGCTTTACAATGCACCCAATGTGGTCAACTTGACTCAGTTTTCCTCATTCACTGAATGACTAATACAATAGAATACTTTGAAATTAAGAATTGATGGTTTTCACGGCGGCCATGTTGGAGGAACTTAACAAAAGAATTGTCAATGAATTCTTTTGTTATATCCTCCAACATGGCCGTCGTGTCTTTTGTTATCTAATTATCTTGGGAATGGCTGAAAACCATCAATAAGTACATATAGCACACTCAGGTATCTCAGTACAGTAATGTACGTTATAATAGGGACAAACTCAATGAAATCAATAAGATAATAAAGGTATAGTAAAATATGCTATAAAATCGTCTATGACCTTTTAAATCATTTCTTCATTGCCGGAAAAATTGAAGCGATTTAGACATGAATCGAGCGAGTTTTTCTCTTGTTTTCTTCCCTTCGCAAAAATCAACGCATTTCCTAAATTTCAATAAGATTATGAATCGAGAGCCTCAAGTTTGTTAATCACTGGCTATTATGCGCTACCCTCTTAAAAAAAGGTTTTCCTGAGTTCTTTAAAAGATAGCTTTGTAAGAAAAAAATCATAAACAATTGTAAAAATATAATTAATGATGTTTCTTATGAATGTAATAAAAAAAGGTTTTCCTGTTTCTACAATATGTTTTATTTTTAACAGTCTCTTTATTTTGTCTCGCGATAACAATCAAAACGCAAGAGACGCCGGTACATTTCCAGTGCTATAAGTCACCCGTCCCTATCCCTGACAGACGAAGGCACCCATTACAACATCCAATTCTCGTATCTGATTCTCCTTTTGTTGACATAGCGGCTTGTATTCCGATAATTACTAACGGGAAACGAGCGTTTAAAAAGATTGAGCATTCATTCTACCCGGAACATCAGTAAAATATGATTTAGCCTGACGAGAACTCTCACTAATGGCTTTTTCAAGGTAATATATAAGACTTGACATTTAATATGCGATCTGTTCAAAACATTAAGAAAAATCAATACTAAAAAATTAAACAAACACTGAAAGGGCTTTAAAAAAGTTAAGATTGTTAGTGATTCGCAGGTTAAAACGCGGGATCGCCTTGCATAGCCTTCTAAATAAAAAGGATCAGTTATTGGTCCACCGTACTTATGAGGTGGAGCATGTATAAGTATAATAGTGGGGTAGAGGGTTGATTAATTGCTTATAGTTACACTGCGCTGTGACTATAAGCAACTGTTTAAGTACAATGGTGGGGTATTGGGTTGATTAGTCGTTGGGAAGATGAGTTGGGTTGATGAGTTGTTGGATGTTTCTTGTATAAGAGTATGCTTGTATGTTTATGTGCTGGTGTGCTGGTGTGCTGGTGTGCTGGTGTGCTGGTGTGCTGGTGTGCTGGTGTATACGTGCGTGCTTGTATGTTTGTATGCTTGTATTATACTTGTATGCTTGATTAGTAGGATGTTTGAAAGTTTGGTTCTTTAACGGAATGCA